AAGAAGTAAACAAACAGATGTGATTATTCTTGGAATGACTATCAGGCCAAAATACATAATGGTATATTAGTCCGAGGTGTGTAGGTGAATTCGAGGGTGAATTTGAGGACGAGCCGAATTGGTGTCTTCTCCTATGGCCACAGTGACCTTTCGTCAGGTCTTGACGAACTGCTTCTGCGAACATAACAGCATAAATCAGATCAGCCAGAACGTGATCACTTCGCTGACCGACGGGATCTTGTGTCACGCTTAGAGGAAGATGTAGAACAGAGTCAATGGAAACAGCACGGTACGGTATGTTCACATCTGGTGATCGAGGCAGAAGAGCATACCGGTGTGATTTTCAAGGTTGTTTAAAACAGAATTAGGCGTACCAGTCACAATTACTCAACACTATCTATTCACGACAATCATACCGATGATATGAAAAAAAACTCGTTTCGGATCCAGATTCAATAGACTTCCTTGATAGGAATGGAAGAAGTTGCGGTTTAGTTAGTTTCTGAAGCCTTGAACTAGTACGAATAAAATTAACACATGCGCAGTAATAGAGTACCATTTGAAATTGTTGCTAACAAAGTTATTTACAAAACACCTTCAATCCTCCAAATGATAAGCCAAAGCATCAGCTCTCCTGAGTGAGCGAAACATCCGATATCTGAACCATTAAATTCCCTAAATCGATACGTATTCACCGCATTCATGGAAGTAATTTGCCGATGAGCAATTTATCTCTCAGATACACAACTGATTTAGCATTTGCAAAAACCGATTGTTACATACATACCACAAGGTCGATAGAGATCACGAGAGAATCCACTTGCCTACAACTGTCTATCTGTTGCATGCGATCGATCACCTGTTCCGGATTGGAAAATGAACTATCTGAAAGAATCTTCAGATGCAATGAGTTCAAAGTCCACGTGAACAGTTCATCAGCCGTAGGATATTCTTGTTTGAATTTATGCAAACGTAGTCGGTACTCCGTCGCGCGCTGAGCCTCCAGGCGTGCGAAACAAGCGAGGCGATCAGATTCTACATGAGAAACACGACGGTTCGGGTGGGTTAATTAGTTTGGGCGAGATAGGTGAGGTACCGTGAACGAACGATTGATCATGCGACATGAAAAACACGAGACTACAAAATTAGTTCGCTATTTCAGACTGACCATTGAATCTACATTTACCTTATAATTACTTGGAAATAGTACAATGAGCCGATATTAAATTTGAATGACTATCAGCTAGATATAATCTTCAGACATAATCATTGGTAAGCACCCATTAGTAGTCCACAGACTCCGACAATACTGGAAGTGGAACTCCTTCGTATAAGAAGTAATTTGCCGCATCGTCCATAGAATATCAGCCCCGAATTGACGAGCTTGAAGTAGACGCTAAAACAGAGCTTGGGATCCGTCAGTTTCGAACATCGAAATGTTGATTAGAAGTAAACCACAGGTGATTGCTCCGAGGTCGTTTTGTGCCAGATCCAGGAAAATTTAATGCGGGTATATTGTAGGTTTATGAAGGCAAAAGAGTTTACATCCGTCAAAAGACGGTATCGTGGGCGAAACGCCTTTGGTGCGTTCTCCATAGTCATGACCAGCTCAAATTGAAATTTAATGCACCAGGGTGTTGGGAAGAAGAGAGAAATAAAGCCATTTGAGTGGTGGGAGATTCCGGAGTACACACTTACCGGAAACAGGTATTCCCGATTGTACCGCCAAATGTAATTGTGCTTCCAAAGCGACCAAGCGTTCTTCATGCTTCACCTGTTCGTCTTGTAGCACCTGTGATGAGGGCACAAAGCATAGCATCGATGACGTGTTGCAATAATGAACTTGCTACACAAGTTCGGATTCAGACATCCAATATTCCGCCACAGAACTTGTCTTCGGCACAACATTACGACTACCTGAGGAATTCTTTACACCTCGAAATAGTGTCAACATCGTCATACAGATATACGTTCGTTTGTCTACTTTCATGCAGACACTGTTTCCGGTGCACATCTGAATATAAAAGCGGCAGGGGTTTTTACCCCTGAATTGTCATCCCGCTCGCACGTATCCGTTTGAGTTGATTCAGTGCAACAACCTTATGTCGTGTCATTTCACGTCACGATAAGACCGTCAAGGTTGATCGACATCGCCGGGTCCATACGATTGGCATAGATCGTCTTAAAGCAGCATACGTTGATCAAAACACCATACACCTTAACAACAGACTTTCTGTTAATCCCTCTCAGCCTCAAAACGAGGCGCGCGTCTCACGTTCAGGCTCACAATATTCTCCCAGTGCCACAACTGGAGACGACGCATCTGCCTCACGTCTTAGCTGGCGGTCTTCACAGTTTGCCATGATTCCGAATGAGGTTTCACCCACACATCGAAGTCGGTAACCACTACCTCCTGATGCGGTTTCGGAGGAGGCAATCGTTTCACATTCAGACCGACAATCTCGTGCATCGGTTACGGCTTCGGACATGACACCTGTCTCACGACCAAGCCAACCTGATTCAGCAATATCTCGATCATCGACCGAGACTTCCGTCTAACGTTCTGGTCGAAGGATCGGTTAGCCCGGACGTTTTCGAACGTATGTGAAACTTGATCCGGAAACAATATTGCAGAGCAATACCATTGCGGTAACAAATATCACGAGTACCACTCCATATTTGTTTAGCGCTTATAGTTATTTGATACTGAAAATGTACGCAATGGCCTACCTGCGGTTGCTACACCATGTGTTTCTGTCTTTTCATTTTCATATTCCACGAGTCATATACGTGACCTGGCTATTGCATGCATGGCCCAACGAATTCTGCTTCCACATATTCCACCGCCGACTCAATGGGTTATCCACGAATCCAAAGGAATGCCTTTGCAAGCACATGTGATTCCGGCTACCTCGGTCAACAACATATGCACCTTGGCTCGTGTGTAGCACTCTAAATGGTTAACCCAGACCGCAATCCTCGCTGCTATTCTGTTTCGATCCCAATCACGGAAACGCATTTGACTCGGCAATGAGTAATTTTACTCCACTGTTTCAATGCCCACGATACTGTAACCGACCGCAGGCAGTATGTATCTAGTGGGAACGTTTCTGAACATCATGCACTTTAGCACAACACCACCTTTGTCTTGTCAGTACCGAAAAGTATTTCACATTTTCTAGCGGGGGCTGCTGTAGTGTATCCGATTAAACGGTGAAACACGGACAACACACATTTGCCGGACACAATTTTGCCTCTATAATCTTACTGTATATTCACATTTTTACCTCAGTACCAACGCTATGTCACACTTGTTTAACACGATCGCTAACAGCTGCATCTTTTCGTGAGAGGAATTTCACTTTTGTTTTCGATCCGTTTGCACGTTATCGCACTCGTTGGCTATTGTTCCCTTCGTGATGTAACGCAAATTCTCGTTAGCAGCTACGTACGTTCCCTGTGCCACGGTACCTCAATACACGTCTACAACAACCACGAGACTTCTAGTATAACCAGTGGTAACTTGGTTGTTTGCCAATCAAGAGAACCATTTAGAAGCTCATCACGACTGGTTGTAGCCGACGCTAACCACGGAACTAGGTCATGTAGGTTGCGTCAGACTTCCTGAATAGGAACCCCGAGAAACCAGAGGTTAGAAACATTGAGTTATATGGTTGAGTGTTTTAGACAGTGCCGTTTTGTATCTTATTAATCGCACTTCAACCTTAGCCTACTGCGCTTCTCCATTTTCTTTTATGCACTGCTTCAATCTTACTGTCTTTTTCCTACGACTTCATTCCAGTTATCGACTATTTTCCACTGTAACCGTTTGACCTTCTTTTCACTCAGTTGTGTACCCCAACCAACCCATTCCCTGTTATTGGCAACACAAGTTTGGAGATGAATGATAAAGTGTACAGTAAACAAACTTCAAACTGTGGGACAATACGGTAGAAACAGCTCACGGGAAAACCGTGAAATCAAGTCAATACAACGGGAACCAGCGAGACAATCAAAACATCTCGTGTCAAGCGATAACACCAATGAGTCGGGCAAGGTTCGTGCACATGCATGTGAGGGGCCAGTGACCAATCGAGGCCGATCAAATGTCGCGATCTCAAGGTCAAGAACCACAGTGAGATGGTCGTTCACGTGTGTGCGTCCGTAAAACATGAATCAGAGGATTGCAGGGTGTGCGTGCGTGCATGCGTGTGTGTGTAGAACAAGTCATAACGTGGACATACTACAGAATCAATACAGTTGGAAATGCGGACAAGTCACGTGTGTGAGCGGGTGGGGGTCCAATGGAACGAGTGCAGTGGTGCATCGATCATGGAATAATGAACAGTTGTCAGTAATGGGGGGACAAACAGAAACCGGTGCGCGTGAGCATTTCGGTTACGTTAATTCGTAAGGGGACGAGTGTGATGGGTCACACAATGTTTTGGATGCACGGCTGAATGGAATCAACATCGCCCACAAAGCCGGCATGGCTTTCTCTAAACTAACCCAAAGCCCTGCAAAATCATACATACAACTGCGCGCGCTCTTCGACTGGCTGCGCTACACTTGCACGCTCTCCGTCACATTGTGGGAATTTTCACCTCTTCACTCACTATCATGCGCCGTCGTTACTCACGGGATGATAGAATTTGTCTCANNNGTTGCCACATATGTCAATGTTTCCTGGTGTGGCAAATCCCATGTTGTTTATCAGTACTGCTCAACAGGTATTGAGTGCCTAACTA